CCATTTTAGTGAAGGGGGAAAAAGTCATATGTCACATGACACCATGAGTTTGATAGCCCTGGTCTAATTAAATGCAATAATGATCGGAGGAAGAGACAGAAAGTTCAATTCCAAACGAAAGCAGGATAGCGCATTCAGGGCGCGTCCACGTGGTCTGAAAGGCCCTGCTTCCTAGGAAGAACATCACAAACAAGGAAGAAACCAGCCTAAGCCCTTTTTAATGATTGTGATAGGGTTCTAAAAAAAGGAGTGGAAGGTATTTGTTTTTTAGAGGCCCTCTGTTTTAATTACCTCAAATTAAATTATTAAATTAAATTATGCACAAAGACTACAACAAAAAAAGGACAAATTTTTTTATTCTAGCTTTCTTACTGTGTTACCAGTTCCCTTTTATGGAAGATTGGTTGTTTGATGGACCTTGTTTTTATCCTATTCTCAACACTGCATGTTTTACATATTCCCTGACTATACCTATACCACTTATTCTGTAATTATTAGATGAAACTCCTTTTTTATTCCTTTCTTCCTCACTCCAAATCCCTTTTTTTTCTTTAAGATAATACTCCTGAGAACCTTGTTATTTATTTTTATGACTTGTTTTGGAAATCTCTTTTCGGTGTGTCTGAACAGCAAGATAAAAACCACACAAACATATATATCGATATTGGTATATGTGTTCTGCAGTTATCAGAGATATATTTGCTCACCAACATATTATTATTAACAACTGCAATAGGTGGCAAGTTCAATCCCCTTCAGTATCAACCTCAATATAAAATTCAAGTGGGAATGGAATCTACACCAGAGGCGTGGCCTGCTTTATTATTATCCTCCTGGGGAATGACAATAAAGAACAACTAGTGTTCACATGAAACTGCTCCCTCCCAAATTCTAATGTAGCACTAAAACGGTGCATGTCAGCAATAAAAATAAAATGTCTATGACATTTTAAATGTTATCATACTGTCACAGTGGAATAAAATTAGCTTGAAAAATGATCTAAAGGGATGTGATGCTGTTCATTTATGTACAACAGCAACAGCAGCAGTTTCCCTGTGTTGATAAAGGTTTCTCCATTAAATTTACCTCCAGTCAATAATTAGGAGTCCACAAATAAACCTAGGCAATTAAATCAATACTGTTGGGCAATTATGTTCCAGAGGCCAGGCTTGATGTCACAAGAAGACACTATATCAAACTTCAGAATTAAGTGATCTCATGTACTTTGCTGCAAGGCATTTTGTAAGAAAAAAAAACAACAAGAAAGGGTGGTGGTGGTGATGGTGGGGGAACCGAGAGTTAAACCCAGCATATCACAAAGCTGATGTGAACGTGTAAATGTTTTGAATGGGTTATGTTAAATCACAGAGAGAGGATCTGATTTTTTTCAGCTTCTTAGTGAGTGTGTAGTCCCCACAGAAAAAGCAAGGAGTCCCTTCCCAGACAGCACTTGCCAGGAACATGAGATGATTCTGGCCCCCCAGAAAAATGTGCTGATGCATGCTGTAAAGCTTCTCAACGTATCATGTCACCTTTATTTTCATAAATATATTTTTTAAAAATCAGCCCCTTCAGATTCTTCTTCATGCCCTTTTATTCTTATTCAGATCTGTTTCTTAGGAAATATTTTTCTTTATGTAAGGAACTGAACTGCTTTTATTTTCCTACGGCAAGCCATGATAAGGGCAATTTAAGGGCTGTAACATGAAATAAAATGTGAACAGTATGTATTTGCAGACTAGAAGCCTAAGCAAAGGTAGAAGTCACCCTTAAACTCAGATCTCTCCAGAATTTGCATTTGTGATTATGGGAAATAAAATCAAATACAATCAAAAACCTAGCACACACTTCCTTTGGAGTAAGCTCTGTTGAATTAAGTTGGACAAGTTTGACAATGTAAATGTTTTTGCCATGATTAAAAGTTCACAATAATATATGGAGAGAGCCCCTTGTATCAGAACAGATCCAGATGCCTCATGCTCAAATACTGGTGCAAATACAATCCTGGATAACTAAGAATCTTGGTTAAAAGGCAGAGCAAACAAAATGAGAGCATGGCCCTACATCACCCCTTTTTTCCTTATATCATTTCCAAAGCATAGAAACCAGATCACAAGAAATAATTCTCTGCTTTACTCTGATTCCACTTGGAATATTGTGACTGGTTCCAGGCACCCCAATTCAAAAATGCCATATTAGGGCAAGTTCAGAGGGCTTGTTCACCAAGATGGTGAAAATCTGGAAACCAGTTCCTATGGGGGATTCACAACTAAAGGATCTGTGAAATTTAGCTTTCAAAAAAGTTGACTGAGATGATAAAACTGTATTCAAATATATGAAAATATTGTTACATAGGAGAGGATGTGGATTTATCTTCTGTTGCTGCAGAACAAAGAGATTGAAACTGCAAGGACGTATATTCAGGGTAAACAAGAGGAGGAACTTCCTGACTATATAAATAAAAATATTGCCTGACAAAAGTGGTAACTTCTCCATTGAAGGTTTTTAAACAGAGACCGAGTAGTAAGCCTTCAAAGATATTCTACTGAGCAGGAAGTTGGAGTAGATAATCTTTCTAATTTTAAGGTTCTATTAAATATCACTACTTCGCCTTCAATGTTACCCCTAATAAGTTCTTTTTTGGAACCCAAATCGTATTTAGCATTAGCCACTGTAAACATTGGTGACAACTGAGTAGTAACACAGAGTAAAGTTAGAGCACGGTGATAATCTGCATGCTAATCAAGTAAGGAGAAGCATTTGCTCCTGGTACCTGATCCAAATCTCTTACCCACAATGAAGAGTAATCAGAGTTACATGTGAATCAATTCTAGAATGCAACTGTACAATTGGTATTTCCAGTTGAAGTCACATTAGCAGAATTTGTTGACAATCAAGTTATTGACATTTGTTTAGCAAAAATATTTTGATAATAAATAACAGCTGTCATAAAAGATTCGACTATAAATTTTCAACTAAGTAAAGACGTGCTATATCCTCATCTGGCTGATAAAAAACAACTTTATACTGATCACCATTGCTTATTCATAATTCCTGAGCAGAAACGAAGCCGATGCCATCAGCACACTAACTATCAAGATGTTTGTCATGAGCATTTTTTAAAAGCAGTTGCCGTTCAGACTTGACTGCCCCATTAACAAAATGACAATGAAAAATGCATTACAGTCGACAGAAGTTTGAAAAATCCAGTTTATGTTGTCAGCCATCTTGAAACAAAAGCTGCCTTGCTATGACTAGAAAAGCAGGCTCTCACCTGCCAATAAGCTGCCCTTGATCACTTACAAGAGGGGTGCCTCCCAGGAGATTGTGTGTGTATTAAAAAAAAAAAGACTTGAAAGAGAAGAAAAAGTATCACACAGGTCACAGCGGCAGTCTCAATGGACCCCTCAGGGATTTCAACTAGTCTCAGACTTGTCATCCTCTATGCAGTTTTCCACTCTGCCCAGAAAATGTCGATAGGAAAATGTTTGAGGGGCCTCTGGTGGAAATTTTTTCATTCTTTCTGCATTGACAGGATGCCAAATCAATATTTACTTCCCACTAACAAGCTGCTTGAGGTCTCAGTAGAAAATATTGTAGAGTATGCGGGAAGACATGGTAATAAACAGCTGTCTGGCTGTGAGGAAAACATGAATTGACTGGAAACAGGTCCATAGTAAAAGGTCACTGAAACCCATGAACTCCTCAGGTGTCCATATCAACTACTAACTTTAAAGGCAGATAATAAAAAAAATCTCTTTTTAAAAAAGACGGATGAGAGAATGGATCCTTTGCTTTCCACCAAGGATACAGATGGGGCTCAATAATTTAATTAATACATTTGCCTGTATCCCTAGATGTTTTAGTTTCTATCTGTAAAGTTAGCTCAAACAAATATAGTGCTAACCTGTCCTCCATCTCACTCAAAACCTTACAAAATACACTTGAATTTGGAGAACTTTTTAAACTGAAGGGGAAAAAACCCAAGAGAAAACATTTCAATTAATAATCTGAATAAAGATAATTTAAAAATTATTTTAAACAAGTTTGATATTCACTAATCAAATCTGTACCTGAACTTCTCATATTAATAGGAATTCTTTCAAGGCATCCAAACATTTTTCAACTCACTCACTTTTTCCCTATTTTTGGGATGGCTAATCAATGGATCTTTGTTTGCAAGTGATTGGCATTACTGTTTTTATAGTCCCCTCCACTTCAGTTCCTCTGCCTTCCTAGATAAGGAAGGTAAGGTGCCCTCACTTTGCAAGCATTCCTATGAGTCATAAATAAGAGGTGACTGGAGAGAAAAATAATGGTTTTGGAGCACTGCTATTGGCTTGGCCAAGACATGTCTTTCCCAGATATTTTTTATTGGAAAATGGCAAACCCATGTGAGAGATTATATCCTTATTATGATTTCTGAGTTCCTACCAAAAGAGGCACCTGCCAGATTAAATGGATAAAGAATGTTGTAATATTTTCAACTAGGCATCTATCTTTGGAAATGTCTCCTAAACAAGCTGATAGGAGCTTCTTCCATCAGAAAATAGTAGATCACCCAAGAGACATTTGCATTAACACCAGTAGCCTGTGACAATTTCCCATTTTTTAACAATATGAGAACCTACCAATAGGGAAAGGAGCAGAATGAGACACTCTCAGACACCTTAGGCTTGGCCACCATTAAATTATTAGTTACAGGAGCTCGTGATCTCTTCAACCAAGCTGTCCAAAATAAGTGAGGATGTCATTCAGAGTAGCCCACCCACCCAAGTAACTACAGTGGACAAAATTATCCCTTCCAACCTTCAGATTGGTTTCTCTGATCTACCCCCCCAAAGCAGCTGTTCAGTGTAAGGTGCTTCCAAGCCCTTTTGAAATTTCTAATAGAGTAAGTGCTAAAAAAAATTGTACAGGTCTATTAAATAAGTATCTGTCAACATGAACTACATAAACCACAGTCTTGGTTACAATTGTTAAAAGACAATGTTGAATACCTGTCCTTCCAGAAGTTTTTGTAAATAGCCCAACCATTCTTTGTCACTTTCATATTCCATTTTCATCTGTTCTGTTTCCTAAAAATAAAATAAAAAATCCTGTAAAATTGTCTATTATGCTACGGTGAAGCTGGTACTAACACTACTTGCTCAGAAAACCACCCTATCTGACAGCAGCAATTCTTAAAAAGTGGAGAAAAAGCAGAAAGAGGAAAAATCTCTTTTCCTGACAATTTCCAGACTGTTTATTTTTTTCATGGCTGTCCTAAACTCTCAGCTTGACTTTAGCTCCCCAATTGATGAAGCTAACCATTCTGTATTTTGTCAGCAATTAGGAACCAGCAGCCATCTAATTTAATTGCAAAATGGGGGATGTTCAGAGCTTTGGCATTTTAACATATAAAAAAACAATGACTTTATGCATTGAGCTTGGGTTCTATTGATTTTATGGATACGTCAATGGTTTATTCCAGGAGTGTCAAACTCACATCGTCACGGCCGCGTCACGTGACTTATCGGGATCCCCCCCTTCGTTAAACCGGGTGTGGGCATGGCCAGTGTGTGACGCATCCGGCCTGTGGGCAGTGAGTTAGACAGCCCTTGTGTATTTGGTAACTATACAAAAAAAAAAAAGTTGCCAGTACAGATTTTTAGAACATTTTTTCCAACTTCCTAATCTAACTTTAAGATTTCCTGGTGATCTCCCTTCCAGCCATGCCTAACTTCACTTAGTTTTTAAAGATCAAAATAAGATTAGCTTGTTACTGCACCTAGCTGGGAACTTAAGCATAGGAAAATAAAAGTTAAAATTGCTGAAAGCAGATGTAGGCAGAACGTAGGTCAGGATTTATAGGTCCATGATATGCAACAGATGAATTATATTTTCTAATTCATTGCTGTATACCAATAGCAAATCTTTTGCCACTGTTTCCTAATTATACTGCTGAAAATGAGGAAAGTTAGGGGAAAGCAGATTTTTGTGTGGAAGGACTGTAAGGTCAATTAATTATTCTGGTACTCAGAAAAAAATCCTGGGCTCAAAAGTATTTAATTATAAGTGTATGTTTTTTGCACCTTTTCCAGGTCAATGAAACTTGAAGCTGCAGCAAAAAAATTCAATAGACTGTGTAAGTCTGAACTGCCTATCCTTGTCTTAAGAGATCAAAATTAGATTTAGTGAGCAGTAGGGTTCACAATAATATCCAAAAATGCTTCATTGATATCTCACGTTTAGATAGCAGTGGAGGCATGACTAACTTAAGATATGGGGAGTAATTTTTAATAATCCCTATAAAGGGAATTTATCAATAAGAAGCAGATGGCAAAAAATACTCATTTTGGCAACATATGGAATTTTGAGAGTTCAGTGGCTAAAATAATAGGAGAATTAAGATCCGAGAATGGCTATTAGCTCAATACTAGCAAGAAAAAAAGAAATTAAAACATGAGATTCTTATTTAAGTAAACTAAAGACAACATCAGATAAACTGATTGCTTATTACATATAAAATAATAATAAAATAAATCTAAAGGAATGTGATATTTCTTAACCCATTGATTTATAAGAACCTATGCCACTTTACACCAAAGAAAGATTAAAAATTAATTCTTAGACAAATTAGCATAACTTACCTCATCATTTACAACATCAAGAATCTCATCTAAATCAGTTTTTGAAATATTAAGGATTGATGCTGCCAAAGACTGAGCCCGGTGAACACATTCTCTGGAAATGTTACCACCACATTTTTTGTCTTTTTGCATTTTTTTAGTACATCTGATTCGTGTTCGCATCTCTTTCACATTATGCTGTAACTCAGTGGCTAAGCTCTGTGAAGATAAAAATAAGTAAAAGTATTTATGATTAATTACCTACTTTCAACACATTGCAGCCCAAACATTTGGGAAAATAAGCAATCCAGCAAAATACAGTTGTGGTTCTAACACAACAAAATAGGTTAGAAATGAGAATATCTATATCTACATTTATATCTGTATATGTATATATACATGGGATAATATGAATATGTCAAGGGATGTCTAATAATACTTCCTTTTGTTTATTAGTTGATAAATTAATAAATATATTTTCAAATTAAGTAACTAAATGCGAAAAATATGTTTTTTTAAAAAAAATAAAATAGCCACACTTACAATTAAGAATTCTCAGAGGCTGCTACAGTAGTAAATTTGCCACTATTTTAAGACCTGTTTTGATCTAGATCAGTGGTTCTCTATTTTGTTTTCCCCTTTGGACCACTTAAAGTTTCTCGTCTTAGTAGACACCTAGGATTTTTTGTTCATTCTCCAAATCAATGGGCATGTATTATTCATATTGTAATAACTTTAGTGTATTAATAAAATTATGAGCCCTAAGTTAGAATGCTAAACAGGTATCTGTAACTGGCCTTTTTAGGGGAAAAATTAGTAGAGCACATCAGTGTCATACTGTGAAAAATTAGTAGGCCAGGGACCCGTTAAAGCAATCCAGCTCTGTAAAACTACCTCAATTTTCACCAAACTCTTTCCCCAATAAATCAACTACAGGGCTCTCTCTCTCTCTGTGTGTGTGTGTATTTTAATGACCATGTAATCCCTAGCATCAAGGTGGAGTTAGGATGAATGGAGCTCGAACATTTACTTATTGCATGCCCTTCCTGACACCTATGCGGAGTTCACAGCAGATGCTTTCTCTTTGCGCCCAGAGAGAGAAATATTCTGCCGCTGCCTAGGATTGAACTTTGAACTCATGGCCTTCTGATTGTGAAGAGGTGTGTGTGTGTGTGTGTGTGTGTGTGTGTGTGTGTGTGTATACACAGAGTTTTTGTTTTACAGTTAGAATATAAGACCCCCAACTGGAATATTAAAAGTTGGCTGTATTTCAACAGTCACGATGACTAAATTATTATGTTCGCAGAAAATATGTAAAGTATTGTATATTCTGATCATATGTAAAAAAAATGGGAACTAAGACCAAGGCTATTTTTTCCTTACATTTCATTTCAAAGCTATAAGACTGGATAGGCAAATATCATAATTTATTTTGACTGCTAGCTGTTACCTGAATTGCAGAAAAACTGATGTTTTTAAACACCTTTTTAAAAATATTCTCACCAATTGAAAAAAAAAAGCTGTTCTAACTTAGCTTGTTCAAGCAGCAGGTTTTTATTTTGTTTTGTTTTGCCTATTAGGTCCAAGCCCATCAAACAAACAATGTGCTGTGTCTCATATTTTATTTGCAAACAGAGATGGTTATGGATTGAAAGAAAAAAAGAATGCTAATGCATAATGGCATTAAATACTTAATGGAATGAATAATGAATAATATTAACTACAGTAGGAAACCAACACTGATAACAATAGCCACAGCATACTGCTAATTAGCCAGGCTCTGCAAAAAAAAAAAAATTAGCATTTGACAATGCCAATATCTATGAGTGACCCAAAGTATAAGATTGGGGCAATATAAAAATCTGGAGTGTAAATAAATAAGTAAACATAAACGCCTCTGGAAACAAATCAACAGGATATGAACAACACTTAAATCTAAAAGTTTTTCACTTTTAAATGAAGTTCATAAAAAAGAAAGGTCTCTATCTTGCACACTCATTGAGTGCAGAATTAATGTTGGGCACTAGTGAACAAATCAACAGGTTGTTGATTTTTCTTGCGAGATTGTGGTAGTCTTCTCCCAGAGAAGGATGTCATACTTGGGCCCAAGCAGATTCTCTTGTTACTCTTGAAGACTTGGCTGCTACTGCTAGAGTATAGATACACTGGATGATAAGACTTATCAGTCACTTTTTTCAGTGTCATTGTAACTTTCATGGTTGCTAAATGGATGGTTTTAAGTCAAGGACTATCTACCTTGTTTCTCATAAAATAAGGGTCTTATATTTTTTTGAGCCCCGAAAAAACGGCTAGGCCGTCTTTTCGGGGGTGACTTAATTCTCCCCCTTGCATCCTCATCTAGAGTGCCCCGCGGGCAGCCTCGCCACCAGCCGCTCCTAACGGGTGATCATGGCGAAGCGCAGAGAGCTCCCTACTCCCACCAAACACGTTTGCTGAGACCCAAGACCTTTGGCACCCGCCGCTGTTGCTTTCCCTTCTGCCCATTCCGCCGCCACGTTTGGAGCTGCCGCTTCTGTGTTTGGAATGCCGCTGCCATTTGGAGTGCCGCTGCCATTTGGAGCACCACCATCATGTTTGGAGCTGCCACTTCCGCGTTTGGAGCTGCCGCCGTGTTTGGAGTGGCGGCGGCGCTCCAAATGGCGGTGGTGCTCCAAACAGCGGCAGTGCTCCAAACTCGGAAGTGGCAGCTCCAAACGTGGCAGCAGCTCCAAATGAGGAAGCGGCAGCTCCAAACAGCAGCAGTGCTCCGTACAGCGGCAGCGCTCCAAACGTGGAAGCAGCAGCTCCAAACGCAGCGGCAGCTCCAAACGGCAGTGGTGCTCCAAACGTGGACGTGGCAGTTCTAAACGTGGCGGTGGCATGGGCAGAAGAGAAATCAACAGCGGCGGGCGCTGAAGGTCTTGGATCTGCCGCAAAAGTGCTTGGCAGGAGTAGGGAGCTCTCTGCGCTCTGCCATGATCGCCCATTAGGAGCAGCTGGTGGTGAGGAATTGCTGCCCGCGAGGCGCTCCTAACGGCAAGTCCCCCCGCCCTTCCCCCCATTTTGCATGTTTTAAAATAGGCCTAAATTTGGGGGGTGGGGCTTAATTTCATTTTATACCTAGAAAACATGCTGGGTCTTCCTATTGGGGGAGGTCGTGTTGTTGGAGAAACACAGTATAAAGAACCCTCTAGAGCTTTCTGTATCTGTAGCACTAAGGTCTTGTTGCATCCAGCATATTGATTCCAATTTTTTTAGCATTTCTAACTGATTCCCGCTCATCAATGAACAGACCTATAATCATTCAAAGTCCACTGGTTTCCCCAAACCCTGTGCCAGGTTCTTATGGAAACTTAATTTTTTCTCAATGTTCCTTATCAATAATAACACAGGAGGACTATTAATAGTCAAAAGTTTTTTTTAATGTTGTAAAAAGTTAAATAAACTTTTTACCATGAAAGCTTATATGTTTTAGAAGATGATCATGATCTAATTTCTCACCAGAGTACAATGGTACTCTGAGATTTCCCCCTGTGACTCCCTATGAATCCAATTTTTCTAAAGTAGCTAATAGGCTCTTAGATGAGCATGAAAGAAAATGATCAGCTTCACCAACACTACTAGTTTATGCTAGTACGATAGAAAGAAAAGCACCCCATTAATTATAGATTTATAGAAATTATATCTGAATTATACAGTCATTCATAACTTGTTAGCATTAGGACACAAGAAAAACAAAGCTGTATCTGTCAGATAAAAGCATTGCTTAGCTGTAGAAAATCATCTGACTAAAACAAACCACTCATTAAAAATAATCTGGAACTTGAATAATATGTTAGTAAGTAGAAAGGCATATTTCATCATCTGACTAAAAGTTCACCTGAACTTTAAATTGATGAATATAACCTTTAAAATCATTTTGCAAAGCTGCTGGATGTACAATTTTTGGTGTGTATGATTTTGTTTTATTTCTATTGAGAAGTGTGAAAATTGTAATTGAAGGCCTACGTCTTCACAAATAATAGATGTAAAATGATAATTTTGTGACATGCTAAAGCAAAGATAATTTAAAAGAAACTACAGCTATGGTGACTTCAAAGCTCTTAATTTTTAAAAAGTGGAGTGGAGAATTTTTTTACAGGAATCACAGAATGGGAGAAGAATCATTTAAACCACCTAATCCAATTTGTGTGAGTGCAGGAATCCAAATTAAAGAACGAACCTACAGCTGTCCAAATTCTGACTGCAAGAAAGGGTAACCACCTCAATTGATTTCTTTCACTGAGAAACTGTTCCCTTTTTTGTGAGATTGCAAACCATTTAGTTGGAAGTCAAACCACCATTCAATTTTCTATAAATGAAAACCATCCTAGAAACGTCATGTAAATCTAACAGCCTTAGCATAGTTGAAAAACAAAACAGAAAAAAAGCCTCAACTGCCACTTAAACTTAGGGAGAAAAAAAAAGGCAAATCTTCACTTCCTGGAAACTCACATCTTTCTCCTCACTTTCCATCATTAAGCCACCTTCTGTAGCCTTTGGACCACCCAACTTTTAAGGGGTCCTAACAACAAATGCCAGCCTCTGACATACAGGGCTATGCATGCACTAATATGTTTACAACAATATATACATGACTGTAGTGCCAAGACAAGATGTTCCTGGTTAATTTAACATGGTCTATTTTGATCCTTTCCAATAGTATTTTTTTTAAGAATAAAGATGGGAATTTCATTTGAAGTAAGATAATTAAGAACTGCTAGGCAGAGAGCTACTTCTTGTCTCATTAAAAGTAGACAATCACTTTAAAGCCGAACTTCAGATAAAAAGCAAGAATGGAAAAATGTGGAAAACAATTTGGCCAATTAAGCTGTAAGGATCTCTTCAGGTGGGCTAAATTTAGGTTTATCTGAATTAACTAATTTGAAATTAAAACTTTATCCCTTAGGATCCCTCTTTTGCATATATTTTTTTCAACGTGAGCTTGTAAATAGCTGTTGCATTCTGAAGTCAAATGGGCATCGTCACTAAACTTAAGTGTTTCTTCAGTTATTTTAATGTTTACTTCTTACTTCATATATCTGTTTGGGCAGCAGAGTTCTATTTCTACTTCTGAAATATGAATGGAAATCCAAAAAACAGATCAATAAAGCACCCCCACACAGAGCAACTTAACAATTACAATGTAGATTCTTCAGATCTAAGGGCAATGGGAGCAA